TAAAAATGGGGTGTTCCATCGCGAGTGGCGGACAGTGTATATCACTTTGGCCAATCCCATTCAGGTGGTAGGTGCATTTTGAGCATTTCCATCAGTCCAGAGAGTTTCATCGTTCTACCTCGAATATTACGGAAGATACGGGGGTGTTTCCATGAGAAGTGAGACACACTGTATGCTTCAAAAATTGTTTTATCATCCTGTGTACTTCAAAATGAATATTTACTGTAGTTTTTCAAGTTTCCAGCATTTTTATTCAAAACTATTTTCTATTGTTCCGAAATAAAGGGAAAACTTGAACTTCGTCACACTAATCGACCACCCTGTATATAACGAAATTGAAAGGCATACTGATAAAATGTACCAATGGAATTTTTGATATTATACAAAAATAAATTTACACGAGATACTATTTTGAAGAATGATTTACTATTATCCTTAGTGAAAAGTATAAAAGTTAAAATATAAAAAAATGTTTTTTTATGCAACATACAAAATCTGAAATTTGTGTTAGTGTTCCCCAAAGTAGATGAGCGGCAAATTTTTCAGGAATCAATTAGTTACAACTCGGTGAATATTAATGACAAATCAAACAATAACAAAGGATAAGTGAGAAACTGTGTTGGATTAGTATTCAGTAGGCAATACATGTGATGGATGACTCACTAAGGTGTTTTTATTATGCTCGAATCCTTATCAACTCAGTAACCACATGAATTCTTTCCAAAAGATAATAGTTTGTTGTCTTTGCTTAAATGTAAACAATAATTTGTGTCATCATTCTTACGTGAGTTTGATTTTCTTTCATTAGGACTATCAAGAAGGTGATATCAAATTTCAACCAACATACAAATATGATTTGAATACTGACACTTATGATACGAGTGAGAAAGCGCGCCCTCCCGCATGGACTGACAGAATATTGTGGAGAGGAAAAGGTAAGTTTTTTATCTGTTATATTTTTCTTAGGTAAATGATGACAATTGATAAATAATACCTGGTAAGACAAAAAAAACACATAACTCTTACCTCTGAAAGCATTCGTTTTATGAAGTAGTCATTGAAATTATATATGAATTTCATTTTTATAGTACAGGAGGCTGAAAAATACATTTTAATTTTTTTTATTTGTTTTTAAAAAGCATTTACCACTGTGCAATTTTTATAAAAAAAATTATATTCGTTTAGATTACAATATAATCTTCATTCACCTTAAATGCCCATGAAACCATTTTTTCCTAATTGTAAGTGATTTCTGATTGACATATTTGTTATTCAAAATATTGATGCAAATGTTGTTTGTTCAAACTTTTATATCAAGTAAATAATTTTTGTCAATTTTTGCTGATTCAAAGAAAAAATAAGTAATAAGTTCAAAAGTAATATTCTTTCTTGTCAGAACAGACGGAGTCGCTGTTCTCAGCTAAGGAATAATATTGTCCCACTGTACCTGTCATTAGAGATATTCAGATGAACCACGGAGTAGGTGTTGTCAAGGTTTTTAATTCGAATGTCAGAATTGAGAAAAACAATAATTATTGCCATAAGGAATCATAGTCACAAACATTCAAATATTGATTGTTGTAATATTTTTCCACAGAAATTTAAAAAACAACTCTTTATGTTGACTGGTAAATCACATCAATCGAATAATAGTATGGTTTATTTAGTCAAATGTAACCTGACGCGTCATATTGAGAGCTCCTGTATGCCAACAGAAAGAGAGGAACCAATTTATCCCAGTCTCTTTGGTTTTCGGATAAAAACAACGAGAAATAGTTATTCGTGGTGCGATTATACCTCTCAACCATCACATCGGACTGGGTGAAGAGCAGTTGTTCTTTTCTTCTTTATTCCCAACAAAATCAACATTTCCTTCCATAAATCCACTTCGAAGTTGTGGCCCTAATCCGAGTGTAATTCCTGGGGTACTCGGTGTCTGGCAATTATGTTCTGCAACAGGGCTCCTGCCACCGTTTTAGCCTCTTGATTGGGTGAAGCTACTACTTCTGGCCAATTGAAGAAATAGTCAATCACAACCATAAGGTAGTTGTTACCGGATGTGGTCATAGGGAGTGGCCCCAGAATGTCAACTGCGATTCTCTCTAAAGGGGACCCACTGAGTTACTGCTTCAACTGTCCTTTTGCCTTGTCTTCGGACCCTTTCTCGAAGAGCTCAGGTCACAGCGCTTACACCACTCTTCCACGTCTCGACGGCAATTGACCCAATAGAAATGCCCTTTCGTGCAACCTTTCTGAGCTGTTCGAGTTTATTCACGATACACGTCTTTGGAAGGATTATCTGGAATTTGTTCATCCGGGCTTTCCCATGTCCGAGTGATGAAGTCATCTCGAATGCACATGGAATCCCTTTGGAGCCAATAACACTTCTCCTGCTGGCCGTTCTTGCAAATCTCTTGCCATTCCAGCCCCACTCCTTTGTCAACTCATTCTCGTACAGTTTGCAAGACCGGATCCACCTTCTGCGCTACGATGATATCTTGTCTCGTCAGGAAGGTAGTGTCACCCTCGGAGGCTGTTAGTAATCGTACCCCACCATGGTCAGATGGTACCTCACATATTCTGTCCGTATCCTTGGGGAAGGTACCCTGACAGGTTATTACTCTCCGGGTCAGAGGGAACCTGAAGCAGCAGGAGGTAGGGGAGCTTACCTCCCTATCAGAGCTGTCCATAAAGGAGTCTCTGCCCGCTACCTTGTCACGTCTGATGGAAAGTTCTTCTCCTGTTAACTGGTGACAATTCAGAAATTCGTCCACAGCTTGGGATGCAGAAGCCAATGTACTTCTCCTAACGTTTGCTGAATTCAGTTTTTCCAAACCCCGACGCTCCAGTTCAGATGATCTCAAACGCCAGTATCTTTCATCGGATGCTGGACGTGATCGACAATGCCGCCTTAAATGGCCATCTCTGCTGCGGATAAAGCATTTAGGTCGCCCTCTTGCCTTAAGTACAGTTCCATTCATCAAATATTTCTTGAAGAGTTCCTCTAGTCTAGACTAGTCTTTCTCAAAGTGGGTGATAACGCCCTCTTGTGGGCGCTGGAGGCCTATAGGGGGCAGTAAAGGGCACAGAGAAGATTGGGGGGCGGTGGGAAGATTGAAGCGGTTTAGGGTGGCGATGGCTAATTCAAAAATGTGATTTTGCTTTCAACACAAACTTTACCGCTCCTTTACGTTTAACGCGCGTTTCCTCGTGTAACGCCATCTAGGGGACTAGACAGTAACTATTTCCTGTCCGATAGTTGTCAAACTGTACAATAGACGGCGGTAAGCTTCAATGCGAAGTGAGAAGTTTCTAGTCTCCATTCTCGAAAGTACTAGGCCCCCCCACTGCCTCATATAAAAGCGCGCGCCATCCAGCCAGTAATGTTATTCGACGATATTACGAAAACAAGTGAATTTAGTTAGCGACTAGCCAGGTGGCGAATACTGTGAGTGGTGTCATTAGCAAGTTTTTATTACTCGATTCTTTACTTCGGCATTTTTTAAGACAAAATTATGTCGGAAGCAAAAAAGCAGAAACGGCAGTATAGCGCAGAATATTTGAAATATGGATTTATTGAAAATCTCACAAATCCATCTTAGCCTGTGTGCCTTCTTTGTCAAAAAACATTTTCGAAAGAAGCGATGAAACCCTCAAGGCTACAAGATCATTTGAATAAAATGCATTCAGATAAAAAACACAAAAGTGTTACTTATTTTCAAGAACTGGAAAAGAAACACTCAGCTCGGCCAACTGTGTCAAAACTTTTTTCAGCGGCTGATAAGCAAAACGACGACGGACTCCGAGCTTCCTACAATATCTCCTTGCTAATTGCTCAAACAGGTAAACCTCACACTATTGGAGAGGGTTCAATTTTACCGGTAATAAAAGAAGTAATAACTACTGTGCTCCATAAACCAGCGGCAGATATTATCCGAAAAATTCCTTTGAGCAATAGTTCCGTGCAAAGACCAATTGATGAGATTGTCTGAAAACATTGAAGAGTCATTGTGCAATGATCTGAAGACTATTAAATTCTCAAATCAGTTAGATGAGTCCACTTTACCAACCAATGAAGCATTGTTGTTGTCATATGTGAGGTTTATTAAAAATGAGAAAATATATCAAGAACTACTATTTGCCAGAAATTTAGAGACGGATACAAAAGGAGAAACCATATATAATACACTGGAAACATTTTCTGATCAGAAAGAAATTCCACTGAAGAATATTATATCAGCTGCTACGGATGGCGCTCCGGCTATGACAGGACGTCACAAAGGCTTCATAGCTAACTTGAAAAATAAAATTCCATATGTGCTAGTTGTATATTGCGTCATTCATAGGCAACATTTGGTTGCGAAAAATTTGAGTGAGCGCCTTTCTCAATCACAGCAATATATCATCAAAGCAGTCAATAAAATCCGAAACAGCTCTTTAAGTCACAGATTATTTAATCAGCTTTGTGTTAGCTAATGATGAACCGATTGCTATTTCACACAGAAGTGCGTTGGTTATCAAGGGGTAACTGACTGACTCGATTTTACAATCTATTTGACTCTGTAATAGAGTTCTTGGAAAACAAAGACAAAGAATTGCACGACAACCTCATCACTTCAAAGAATGATATTGCGTACTTGACAGACCTGTATAAATTATTTAATGATGTCAATCTCCAACTTCAAGGTGACGACTTGAATTTGATTAAAACAAAAAATGTCATTGCTGCATTTGTAGCCAAATTGCTCTCATACAAGAATAATATCGGCAGACGTGAATTTCGCAATTTCCCTAATTTGTCAGCAGTATCCTTCAACAACGACAACTTGCTTGTTTACTGACAACATTTGGAGAACCTCCACAGTGATTTCACAGAACGATTCCAGGACATTTTAAAATTGGAAATACCGGACTGGGTGTTGGATCCTTTTTCAAATGTCAACACAGCAGGATCATCGTATTTGTGTGAACGTGGATTTAGTGCTGTGGCAACTTTGCTAACTAAAAAGAGAAATCGGTTGCAGATTACCGAACGCGGTGACTTAAGGCTGTTTTTGAGTAAACTCGAGCCTGATATTAACAAATTGTTAAAAATCATCAAATTCATCCTTCACATTAGATTAGTTTTAAAATTCAAATTGAAATGTTTGTTTTAATAACATGAATAAAAGTTTTCCTAATATTACAAAATGGTGTTTTACGTTACCCTCATCAGAAAGTTTTATTTTCACATGACACGCATAATTTAATTAATAAAATAATGTCTGTGATTGTGATTCTTAAGATGTAGTGAAGTAAAAAAAAATTGGGGGGCGCTAGAAAATAATTAATTCTCGAAGTGGGCGGTAGACAAAATAAGTTTGAGAACTTCTACTCTAGACCTACCATGAGTCGATCTGTTCCTTCGTCTTTCTTTTCGTTGATGGCCCTCACTAGAACTTTTCATTGTTGTCGCGAAGCATTTTTGGCAGCTTCAAATTTGAGAGCATAAATGATGGCTTCATTCAATGTTTTATGACGTACCATCTTCAGTGACTGCTGTAGCTTTGTGTCTCGAACCCCGTCGATGAAACTATGGACACCAATCCAGTAGGAGAAGTTATCAGCTGCTTCTGGATAGCCGAGTCTTACCAAACTTTCGACTTCAGCTCCAAACTCCTGCAGACTCTCGGATGGACCTTGAGTTCTTACCTTACAGTTGGGCTTGACAGACTTGTTGAAGGTGCTCACTACCAATTTAATCGAAATAAGCGCCATTTGAATCAGTACACTTTTGCCAATACAACACAAGTTGATTAATTCCGTCAGCATAAAAATTGTACAATCGGGATTCTATGAAGTCGACGAAGGCCTTAGTGACGAAGGTTCTACTGGTTAGAAAGTTATCGAAGTGCTTGAAAAGATTGGTAGTCGGTTGGCGAGAGTTCTGGAGAGTATGGCGGGTGCGAATTTCGACGCTCAATTCGTTTAGTATTCGGGCGGTGATTTGTGAAACGTGCGGATGGATGTTGTCGTGGAGCAGGATTGGACCTTTTTGTTGAGCGGTGCCGCCGGTTTCTGCTGACGCAATATTCGGTACATTTCGTCGATTTCCTCACAACAAGAATCTGCTGTGATGGTTTGGCCCAGTTGCAGAAAGTTATAGTGAATCACACCAACCGCTGACCACCATACAGACTTTCAATGGTAGGTTTTCGCCATCGGTAAAAGCTTGGGTAGCTCATTGGTGCCCAACCACTGTCCTGAACGTCTCCTGTTGTCGCAGACAACAACAATTTGGAAAAAATGAACAGCATCAATGTATAGAGTACAAAAGATTATCATTATAGTTGGTGAATATCCATAACATATTCAGTGACACTTTATTGTGAGATGTTCACTAGACAGTTTTCAAACCCGAAAACGTGTTTTGGTTTTTATACTCGTAAAAAGTATAGAAAAGCTTGAGGAAGCTATTGTATATCGAAACACAAACTGTCCAAATATTAATAATTTTTCAGGAATATACCAGTTAGAATACCGAAGTCATATGGATTTGAGAATCAGTGATCATAAACCAGTGAGCGCCCTTTTCAAGTCGGAAATCAGTGTCGTAGATCCAATTAAATACAGAAAAATACATGAAGATTTACTGAAAAAAATGGACAAATTCGAAAACGAGTACTTACCACAAGTGACTGTAGACCAGACAGAGGTTACGTTCGATTTGATTAAATTCCGAGAACCTCAGAGTAGGGAAATAACTATTGCAAACACTGGAATGGTGAGAATATTATTCAGTATGGGTATTAAATTGATAATAGTTATCATTATTGTATTATGACTTTATGCATTCACCTTTCTTCAGATATATTTTTGTCATATGAAAAATTCATCCTCTCATAAGCGAATTCTAAATCATTCTGTCTTACATAATTAAATTTTTCATTAAGTTCTACTGTATGCCCGAATTATAGATGAAGATACAACCTACCAAATAACTATAAGCCAGTTGCTTCACTATCAGTAATGTTGAAAATCATGTAGAAAGTTAAAAATCGACATTGAATATTTATAATACTTTGACATCTTGAACCATCATCGATATGTTTTCCAGAAATGAATATTGACACCCAACTTTTTTAATGACATCTAGGAATAATCCAATTATGAAATATGGAAAGTCTCGGACTGTTGTGCTTGATATTTCCAATCTTAATGAAGGTCTGAAAGTATCTTTGGCTTGGACTGTGATCAAGTAAAATTCAGCATCCCAAGCATCAGTTTTTTCTGAGAAGGTGAATGCAGTAGAACCTGATATAATAATGTCAGGGTTTCTATTATCACTATATGCGTCAATTACTTTGGATGTAAATGGCAATATGGGATGTTGAAGACAACTTCTCAGAAAATTGAAATAGAAAGTTATACTAACCTCAACCGCTTCTGATGCCTCATAAAGCTCAAATGGGCCTTTTTTGGAATATTGCTCATTATACCCTGAGGCTGCTAGATTCTATCCAGAAAAAGCTATCCTCCGGATTTTAGACCTAAACATCACAAGCAACTTTTATTGTCTTGAATATCGAATGAAAGTTGGAGACTTTCACTGGAATTCATTCTATCGCGTGAGAAAGACGCGGAGCGGAAAACTATTCAATTCACTATACTTCAAACTATATTTTTCAAGGACTCTTTTATTTGGAAAAGGGCGTCCCAAGACCGTTTTTCGTAATGAATATAATTTACAACAATGTGAATCCAATTTAAATTGCCACATTTGTATAGGCACTACTCTTATAGAGTTGAAAAGAAATCTGTGCATCTAGATAAAAAATACCGGTACTTTGTTGATTTTTCAGTATAAGTTTCTCTCACGTATCACAGTGGTGATATCATCTGTAGTTATACGCAACTCAGGATACAAACCATGACTTTTATTTTATAACTCCAACAAGACTTTTTATGTTCACTTGTTTTTCCTTGAGAAACATGTCAATAAAATTACTCAAAAATGATTTTAAAATTTTCAGGTACCTGCTGAATTTGAATTCATAAAAAAATTAGATGAGACGAGTTATTGCAAGAATTGGCTGAGAATATCTCCATATTGTGGAAGTATAAATCCAGGTATTGATATATATATATATATGTTTTTGGGTATATTATTTTCAGCTAAAATTATAGTTTAGTTATACACCTTAAGTGTATAGTTTTCTACAACCCTTATTTACAGTCCACTTTTTCAATGTCATCTTCAATAATAATTTAGAATCACAATGTTGATACAAACATACTGAGGAATAATCAACATGTATTTTTAAAGTTTCTCAATCTGAGAAATAAATGAATTTTGATTAATAAAAGGCCAATTCCAATCGCACCAAAAATCGGGATTGTAATGTTTAACTCTTCCCATTTGTTTAACTCTTCCCATTTTTGGGAAGAGTTAACTGTTAATTATATGGGATCCTTTATTGCTCCAGTCCCGCAATACCATAGTGATTTACTCATAAGAAGCTCTTATCAAATTGAGTCTAAGAAATTCTTTGATAATTCTAATGATGTGTTTCCAACTAATAGATTATTTTGTTCTAATCTAATTGCATGAATGATTATCTTGAACTAAATGTGTGTGATCAACTAATTATATATTTTTATCTACCTTTGATTTTTTTAAAGCCACGAGAAAATATTCTGTTGAACATTCTGTTGAACAGTCTGCTTCTCAATAAGCTGATTGTGTATACGCAAATGTCTGTAAAACAATCCATTCCTCACCGCCTTATTTCAGATGTAGTGGTCCAGCGAAATTGACACCACTGACTTTGTAACCTGCAACACATTTTACTTTGTCTACAAAAAATGTTGCAGATGTCTCTCCTGGTTAGCTCCTACTTCTGTAAATGATGCATTTCTCTACAACCTGTTGTAATGTTTTCCACAAACATGTTTCTCTCTCAGTACCCAAAATCTTTTCCTCAGTTCATAAAACAATGTTTGTACACCAACATTATCAAAAAAATGTAAAGTTATTTTGGTGAAAATGAAAACATTACACTAATGTACACATTATCACATCTGGGATCGTAGATATTGTTCAACTAGCAAAGGATTTCACAAATAGGGAAATAAATATTTCGAAATAAATTTTGAAATATTAATCTCTCCCAACTACCTACACGGTAGGGTGTGCTAAACGCCTGTCGAAAAACAACTACTTCCCCGGCTAATAACATGCTGGATATTGAATTACTCTCTCCTAGAATAATTTCAGCATGGTCCTTCTGCTGGATGAACACGAAACATCTACGAAACTACCGTCTGTGTGGAATGTTGCATAAATGTCTGTCGGATATAATTCAATATACCGCGTGGTATCAGCCAGGGAATCGACATATGTTACCACACCCTAATGTGTAGGTAAGTGGGTGAGATTTATATTTCGAAATATTCATTCCCTTATAAGTATGTATCCCTCCTCGATAGTTTTCATTCCCTTATAAATATGTATCCCTCCTCGATAGTTTTCATTTTTGATTTCAATTCCACAAATTGTTAAATGTTTGATAATTCATTATTTGAAATTTTAAAATAATCACTACTCTAACAAATAGAAATGCAATGTACAATCAATGAAAATATTTGTCGTATTTATTCAAATATGTGTAAAAGTTAACAAAAAGTGTGGAAAAGTGTAGTCGTTTTTGGGAAGCATTAGTGTCATTTTTGGGATGTGAAATATCTTGGGTTTGAAGTAGGGAGCAACAGAACAGCATTTTTTGAGTAAATAACCCGCGAAAACTGATAAGTTCTCATAATTTCATTATAATTTTCTCCATCAAGTTACTTTCGACGTTGGGTACTTGAAAAGAAATGAGCTTTCACAAATTGTAGTGAGATCACTTCTCTAGAAGTGTTTCTAGTTACTTTTGATGTCAAATTCTCAAAAGTAGTTTTAATTTTATTGGCATGGTAGTTGGTTATTTTCCTGATGGAATTTGACTCCAAACTTTATTTTGGTATAAAGCGTAACACTGTTCGTAACTGTTCATTTTGGATTTAGGATTTGTTAGTGACGAATAACTAACTGTTGACTGCGGTAACTTCAGCATGACTGAAATGGTTATAGTCTTATGGTGATGATAATAAGTGTCAGAGCAGTATACATTTAGCACAATACATGTCTTGATTCCGATCTCAGTTTTTCTACCCATATAAGCTTTGTTTGCAAAACATTTCAACAAAACTTGCTATGCAATTTTTTAAATGAAATCAGTACTGTATAGAGTACTATTTGCATACATTCATTAATCAAATGACAACATATAGGTTAGCAACTGAAAACCTCTTGAATATAGGCAAAAACATTGCATTCTACCCTTGCATTTTGAAATGTGACTTATGAAAAATATTTCAACATATTATATTCATCATATTGGAACATCATCATAATTATCTTTCCAAAAATCTAATTCTAGACATACTGAAGCGTAAAACATTTATAAATAGTACAATCTATAACTACATAATATCTCTTTATATCACTTGGCACAGTTTTGAAGAATATGAAAATTCTGATCAATTCAAGGCAAAAATAACGGAATATTTACTAGAATACTGTTTTTATTCCATAAATGAGTGGAAAAGTACTTTATTCACCAAGTATTTTACTAAAGGAAATAATCAATGTATAATCTTTCAATTCTTTGATCGTTCCTTTTTATGTTGTTTGTATACTTTTTTTATGATAATGTTAATAAATTTCAAGATGGCATAAAAAATGTTCCTGATTTGCATGTGTGTTGGAACACAATATACAGTTTACAATTTTTTTTCAACTGCTGGTCAAAATATACATCCGCTGGGAAAGTTTTCTTAATCTTGAGAAAAATCTTAAGGTATGTAATTACTTACAAAAAAAATGTTTTCTCATTTGCTGACTGAGACTGAGAAATAATTGGTATGAAGATGGCGATCTTCTCTGCAGTACTAAAACATTTGCTAGATCCATTTATTACATATTGGTAAAATATAAAATCTTTATAGTGTAAATGTACAGCACCTCAATTTCTATGAGAATCCTGACACTCCTCATTTTCTCTTCTGTTGTCATCACATCAGTTTTTTTTTGGTGTTTTAAAACTTGTCTCAGCTAAACAGATTCGTTCATCAACTTCTGCTTTACCATTCAAAAAATCTAATAAACTAGATAAATTATCTTTATATTAAGATGTTTCATTCTGAGAAAACCCAGGTGGTTTTACGTGAAAATTACAATGTCTTCCTCACCTCCTCGGCAAATGATTAGGTACGACTGATTCTACATGACGAAATCACATCGAAGCATATTTTTCTCCAAAGTAACCACCCCCATTTCAACCCTATATGATCCTAAAACCCGCAACTGTATTTTGATTTCAGAGAGTGGCTAAAGTCTCACTTGGTGTGTTTGCTGTGTCTGATTCAGAACTAGTGCCCAATCTCTAACATAAACCCATCACTAGCCAATCAGTATTTCACCTGGTTGATAGCTTTTTGAATAATTTGCCCCTGATGGAGAAAAACTGTTGATCAACTGCCTTACTGCTGAACCTTTTTAATGTCCTGAGGGAGATATCAAAATTTATCTTTCTGGAGACCAAATCCAATTCAGTTTTTGACATTACTGTCAAATTTCTTCAATTCAGATTTGGTATCCTGAAGTTCTTTTATTGTGTTGGCATGGATGTATTTGATGAATTCTAGGTAAAATTATAATTTTTTTTCAACAAGACGGATTTCTTGAACGACTGATTCAATTATCAATAGATTTGGTCTTGTTTAAATCAAAAACATTATTTTCATAGGTGAAAAATGTGATGTTAAACTGGAAGTTTGTTTGGAAACCGACCTGCAGAAAATTTATGATATTTTAATATTGCATTTAAAAGGTGGAAAGGATATGTTTATAATTGTTAATGGAGAGTGCCAAAAATCTTGTTTCACTACATCAATATCGACATTATGTAGAATATCTGTACCCATTATGCAATCTTCAGAAGAACAGTGGAGGTTAGCGGTAAGTTTGGAAAAAAAATTTCTACTGAATTTTTGCAGACAATATTAAATAAATTTTTATTAATTTTGTTTCTGTCTCAATAATTTGGGACCACAAAATAATCTGAAAACTATACATTGGCCATGATTGAAAGTGGAAAGAATATACTTGAAAAGAAATCACCTCATCTAGTCCTAGTCAAAGTGAAAAAAATGTAGTAGTTGAAAAGATTACTTACTGATTCTAAAACACTCCCTTGATATACAGGAAAAGTTGATCAATAATAATACACAAATAATACACAAAATCGACTCTAGAATACATCAAAATACGTAGTACATAGAAGTTCTTGTGTTTTAAGAAAACTACTGGAAAGGAAGTTTGCAAAATTACTACAAGACTTCAAGGTCTCTTGTTATGTCTTTGGAATTATATATTTTTTTTATTTGCTGATCGCCAATAAAACACGATATATCTTTGCGGTATATAATTTAATAATCGACTGCCCTGGTCGATCATCAACACCTGAGAGAGAAGTGAACCAATACACGTCCAATATTCACACAATCTTGCCAGTTGTCAAGTGTTGCTAACTCAATGTACTTATTTACGAATATTGATACCTTACAGTCTAGCACAGTATTCAGAAGAAGAAAACAAACCATAAATATATGTTTTGGGCTACTTGTCCTCACTATGGTGTAGCCAAGTACAAAACACTTGGCCATCAGAAGTTGGCACGGGAGTGATGAACAGAAGTCAGCCGCACATTTGAAGTTTGCTTGAAAGATCTTGCTTTCACATGAAAATCCGAAATCACCGAGGAAGCAGTTAAAGCTACTTGCGAGGAAGCAGTCCCAAAAATTATTAAAATATGAAGGTTATCAAGTATCACATGTACATTTGAGCAGGGCAAAACGGCCTTTTTTTATAAGTTATTCTCCTATCAGTTGTAATTTTTTGTTCAATGTAATAATAGTAGAAAATAAGTGTTTTAATAATTCCAGGAAAAAGGTGAATCCAGTGTTTTATATTCAGTACCCCGGGAGTTATGGCTTCTCATAGACCATTTGTATAGATATGGTCTGAAAACCAAAGAATTGTTTGAATCTAGTGCCCTTCACGAAGAAATTATCAGGATAAGAGACTGGTTGGATTTTGGATCTTTAGATCCTTTCCGTATCCTTTTATACAGCAAATTTCCATCAGTTTCTAAAATATTTTATCCTAAATAATTATTTTCCTCAACATTTTTTTACAGCTGGGACAGTTCAGGCCGCAGCTGAAACTTTGCTTTTGTTTTTATCATATACCAAAGACCCTATAATACCCTTCGATCTACATGACACCTGCATTGCAGCAGCTTCCAATTTTCAGAATTGTCGACACGTAAGAAACTTTATTATCTTGTTCCATTTATGACCTATTCATTTGGTAGAACTTCATAAATACTTTTGTCTAATTTCTACTAAGTTTATTTATTATTTGTTAGGACCGGTTTTGGTTTGTTGGACCATTCTCAAGTTACTTGAGAATGGTCTACAAACCGAAAGTGCATTTCAAGAATATCTGCTATGAGCTCTTTTGAAGCTTCTTTAGCAGATTTCTGAATTTTTGACAACCTCAATAATCTCTCATAGATTATGCTGTTATATACGTAGCATACAATAACAGAACACTGGTATTGACTAGTGATATCTAATGTAGTATCATCTTGGGTTGAAAACATTTTTGTTGCCTTCACTTTCTTGATAAGATTCGCGATCATATGGATGATGAGATTAACAGTCGGTTTTGATAGCATGCTTACAAAAACTCTTCTGTCCATTTCACCGGTAGGTTTTGGAGCACGATGCGATTTACTTTTACCGATGCAAAAATCAGTGGTCATTTTTTTCAAGAAATATTGAAATTTTCGGGAAATTTCTGTGGTCGAGATTATCATATTCTAACTTCTATAAGTCAAGAACATAATCGTGAATATGCAACAATGAAAATTTATTTAACAATTATATTTACCCACCAATTTACGATGTATACAATACTTTCCATAATTTTAATTTTATATCCATAATTTTAATGTTAATATCTGTTGTTCATTACTTTTTTGTACTTCGAACTATTTTCATTGAAAAAAATTATCTGCTTAACGTTTGCCTTTTTTCTTTCATTCAATAAGGGGCCATTCATAACTTACGTCAGACGAATTTTAGACCCCCCGTCCTTGTTATAGGTTGTCACATTTCTAGAAACCCCCCCTGACGTGACGTCACACATTTTTCAAACTTTTGCATGTATTTGAAAGTAATCAGAAGAAACCAGTTATTTTCATAGTTTAATGGAGAAAACTATGACTGTCACTCAGCGAGAGTCAATTGTCAAGTAAACAATAGCAATTGTATTGTCGAAAGTCTCGCAAACAACCGAACATTTAGAACTCTTGTGAATTTTAATGTATCACTTGCATTATAACGCCGCTTTAGAAGTTAAATCTCATAGCTAGAGTACTAAATTTTGTATTCACATATAAATTTCATGTTTTGATATTTTAAATTTTAACCTGTGACGTCACAAAGCTTTTGACCGTCCCCCTGTCCCTTGTTACACTCACATTACAGTGATACCCCCATTAACGTGTGACGTAATTTATGGATGGCCCCTAACAGTAGCATTTTTATGAGAAGCAGATTGTTTGTGATCATTTATTTTTAGGTGAATATGCATACCCGACAAAATACGGTTTTTTTTTCTTCGTTGTAAAATAGCTATATTCTTTCCGTGCCATCGATATCGATTCATATAAACTTTTTTCAATGACAGAATATTTGAAAACGTATAATTTATCTATGGGTTGCACCCCTCAGCTGTCGGGCCAGTCCGGGGAACGACAGGCCCACCGGGAATTCGCTCAAAACTCCAGTATGGCCAGTCCGCCCCTGCTAAAAAATATAAACTTCTGTTTTCGAATATTTCTAAACTGCGACGCGATTTATTGTATATTTTAGTTTCTTGAGGTATTTTCAATAGCATACTAAATATGGTTGGTTACTGATTAGGCAAATAACTTTTGAATTGAAATAAATTAATAACATTATGAAAATAGATATGAAGGAATGGAAATAGTATGTGTACTCATCATGGGATAAAATAAATTAAAGTCAGGGGATGAAATGGATTGAATTTTGAGGACGAAAAATGATTTTTCACAATCTCCCCTGAAACTAGCACAACTGTTGAAATAAGCTGAATGTGAAAGTTGTAAGTAATATAAAGATCTAATTCTGTATAAACCTCTTTTTTCACATAAACCGAAATTTGTCTGAGAAAAAATGGAAAACCATTTTTTAATTTTTTTCTCAATTGTTTTTTGGTAGATCACCTTTTTATATTCTTAATATGCTGTAATTACTTTATACAAAATATTGATTTATTACTGGATTAAACCTAAAAATACCTCATATTCAGCCTATGAATACCATTCAAAGGTAAAGATTATAACTTTTTGTCTTTTCAGACGATAAGGGGCGACACGCCAGTATAGTAAGCCTGTTCACAGGCAGATGGGGCGACGACAAACCTGTTGTTTGTTGTATGCTTCAACTTAGTTCGAAGAATGATACTCTGACGGAATTCGATTTTCAATTATCGGAAATCATTGACTTTATGTTGATGATATACACTATCTAGCACTGACGAGTGGCCAAACAGCCCGAAACCGGCCTGAAAAAAAAATCGCCAGAAAAATATGAAAATTGTTTGATTGGTAATGTTATTGGTAATTTTCTTTCACAACTTCTAAAACTAGATGATTTAACAAAAAAGGACCACTGTTTTTGGAACATGAGGATTTTATGTTGGAAATGAGGTATTTTTCAGGTTTAAAATCAAAATAAATTGCTGTACTAAATGTTTTGATTGAAAAAAATCATAGTATATTCAGAAAACAAAACAACCAAGTTTTCTCTAACTATCGTGAGAAACAAATAAATTGTATTGGAAAATAAAATCCCAAAAAAACGGTTTTTTACTTTTTTTCTGAAAAAAATACCAGTAAAAGGTAAAACTGTAACATCTCACCTAGTATATTTCCGAAACAAACACTTTTCCCATTCACCATAAATGCAATACTCTTATCGACGCGCATTTCACCAACCAAGATGGCGTCTTTAGGAGATACATCAAACTAATTCCTAACTCTAAAACTGGTCTCTATTTATATATAAGAGAGAACACTTTTACTTTCTGATACACATCAATGATGTGTATCAGAATTTGATCTACAGGAAGAATACCAGTACATTTAGATATATTCCTGATAGTTGACACCATTGTCCACAATACAAAATGGCAGATCTAAACTTTCTTGTCAATAGACTTGTTACGTTCTCCTTACACATGCTTCAAATATAGTGGATAAGGTGATTAGGAAACGTAAATTCAGAGAGAATCTTCTACTTTTTAAAAAGTTGAACGTGAAAGTGGCCTTCAAAACTTCTTGCGCTCATTTCGAAAAATGTTAGGTAACCCTAAATACAAGGGTTACCTAACATACATACCCTAAATACAAGGAAAAAGTCGGGCGTATATGAAACATGCTGTGAGGACAATGACAAAAAATATATCGGTCAGATTAAGCGAGCCATTGAAATTCGTTTCAAAGAACACGCAGCACATATTCGATTTTGAAGACCATAAATATTAAGTGTCGATCAACACGCCTTGGAGATTGACCATAGAATAAATGAAAACTGTCTGAAATCGTTGAGATAGTTACATGACACTAGATTTTTGGATGCTTTCGAAAGTTTGGAAATAACAATGTGTGGCTTGAGAAGTATGAACAATGACGAAGGTCCCATTCCAAAAAACCCATTGTATTTCTTTTTATGAATTACTCTGTTTAAATTTGCTGGAACTTTCACGAAAAAGTTATAGCTGAAATCATTGGCGAGTATCGGAGAGTAAAAGTATACTCTCTTGGATATAAATAGAGACCAATTTTAGACTTAGGAATTAATTTAATTTATCTCTTAAAGGAGCCATCTTGGTTGATGAAACGCGTGTCGAGAAGAGTATCGCTTCTCTGGTGATCGGTAAAAGTGCTTGTTTTGCAGATTTTAGGTTATGTGGACAAGTTATTCATACAAAAGTACTAGATCTGTATGTTGCCATAAAACTTTTTTCAATAACTCTACTTTCAGAGGAACTCGTGGAAAAACTATTTTGAACTTCTAAAATTCACCCTATGTCATCTTCCTTACTTAGAATTTCAATCCTTTGTAATAGGCTTTTGCACTGGCTAGATGGTTCATCTTATATACAATAGAAAATTTCAAAAGGGCCATTCATTAAAAAAAAAATGTGTATTTGTGACTGTTCCAGATTATACTACAGAAAGTACCAGATTTGCATCGGAATGTATTTCTGTACATCTGTATGTTCCTGCAAGAACTCCTCAGATACTCCAACGACAATGGATATGATGCCAAAACACTTGCCTCTTTATTTGGTGATATTCTTCTTCGTGATCAAATTCGTAACTCCAAACCCCAAGCTAGCAGGGGTAAATCGAATTTTATCTACAACTTCATCATTAATGATCTAAGTTCTTCTATTATTCCACACAAGTAGATAGTACTTTAAATTTGAATTATGTCAACCGATTGTTCTCAATGAAGATATAGCTGTATAGAAGATAGATATTGATAGATATTTTAGGTTCTGATTTCGATTTCGAATAATTTTTTTTGTACTTCCAGAGCTTTACGCTTGATTATTTACGAGTAAAATTAATTTCAATAATTCACTGAATACACATATATACAAATCATATTTATGCTGTAACTAATAGAAATTTGTGTAAAATGTTCGCCATCCATATACCCTTCAAAATTTCAAATTCCATTGATATTTCAAACTGAAATATTCCTTTATTTTTTTATATAATAATGAATTGGAATATGTCTTGAAGGTTTAATGTACCTAATAATTTTGTTTCTGATTTCCTTTCAAATTTTATCACATTTAGTTATCCTCATAAACAGTCTAAAAGGTTCAGAAATTACTGTACTGCACTTGTCTAAAGGTACAATTTCGGAAATGTATATGAAAAGCGAATACTTAGACGTCTCTAGTTGTATGACTGCAAATCTATCAAATCTACTAAAACAGTTTTGTGTATATATATTTATTTCAAAAAAATGTACATTATTACACCAATTTGCCAGTATTTTTATAGATAATTTAGATTTAGGAGCTACATTGAACAATAAAGGTTATAATGTGATATTTTTTTATTCATTTATGAGTTAACCCCCCATAGTATAAATATTCCATAAATTTTAGAATGTTAACAGTACTAATAACCTAACTTCAATTATAATATATATTTAATAGACGTATTCAAAAAACAGTTTACTGTGAGATTTTCACTACAATTTTACAAAAACACAAGTGTTGCGTTTTTGTAAAACTGATTGGTGAAAATCTCACACCGAAGTGTTTATTGAATATGTTAGTTATTATTAATTTTATTATTAATGAGGCGATAGACATTTGAGAATTTGGTCGAAGTTCAGTTGAAAGTATTTGTTGTTTTGACAGTGTAGTAGTGAAATGAAGTTAAGTTTAACTGTACAGTGTAATCAATTATTATCGAACTCACAGGGAAAACGTAAAAATATGTTATAGTGTCCAACTGTTCGAGTTTCACCATTATGTTTATTAACAAAAAATGATTTTGTTCGTTGGAATTGTTCGAAATATGATTATAGATATTTTCAGTCAATACAAGCTTTTTGTTATGAAATTCAATATTGTTATCTCATGCTAGGAAAGGTAAGACCTAGTCATTCTCTAGTTCGCACAAGTTTCGACTTTTAAGAAGGTGATAGCTGGTTAACGAAAAACACATTTTTCAACATTCCCTCATTTCTGATTATTGCAATATCAGATGTCAATTACCTGAATGGATAATTTGATTATATCTATCACTAGTTCTTGTCACAAACCAACAACATATTCTTATATCAAAGAACACCACTGCCTACTCTGATAACTTGATCCAGAACCTAGATTTGGAAATCTACTGTGAATGACTCGATCTAATATTGGTATTACAATTTTGATCTTGATTATGAATTTAAGATTTTGTTGACAAAGAACCTGAACCCTTTTAAAAATTTTGGATTTATAAGGCAAGTAAGTATGTAAATATTTCAACTTCGTTTATTAACTATCAAAAGTGAGGGCACATTTATGCTTATATATTGTTTCATTTTTTTCTTTCATATCGATGAGAAAAAATCTTTTCAAGCACTCAACTATTTTCCATTTCAGTTTTTGAGTAGAATTATTTCAACTTTCCCAGGCGTTTTTTCCTTGATAATTTTCAACTGTGAGTGATTTGCATATTCTCATTTTAATACCTATGGAATCTTCTTTTGCTTTCACTGATAACACCTCTAATCGAGCAATTGTAAGAAAACTTGGGTTTGAAATATTTATCCCTTTTATAATATCTATTTCATCTCCTTCTGCAACAGGAGCACTCTTTTTTGGTACCTTCTCACCGTTCAACCTCACTTTACTTTCATAAAACATAGTTTCAATTTTATTCCTTGAAATGCCCAATCCTGCCTTCAAAATTGCATCCATTCGCAATGACAAGACATTTATCTTCAGAGTTTTGGTGTGTTTGTCAGGTATGTTATCCAGAATATCACTATTTTCACTTTCTGATTCTGATTCCGATGTAGCAATTGGTATATTGCTCTTTGATTTTGATACTCTACTCTTGAATCTTGCATTCAATATATTTTCTTGCTGAATATTGCTTATTTGTAGGGGTACAGTCACTTGAAACAACATCTTCCTATTTGGATTTTCAGGCAATATCTTCAATATATTTTTTGGATATAATTTTCGCCGGCATAGGGATATTCCTAATTTATACATTTTTAATCAAGCAAATTAAAAAAATTGTATTTTGAACTATGTGCATAACCTCACTTTACAGTGTTGCCAGATGGAATTAGTCAAGTTAAGATATGTTCCAAAAATAACCACTTCCTAACCGAACTAATCAGAATTTTTGACAGCGGTTACCAGAAAAATATACTATTGTTGTTACTATTGAAACATGATATTTGTGTCATCAAAATGAGTCAATTGCTAAATTAATTCTGATGTAGAAACTAAACTATACTACACTGTGATCATACATTTTCCAAGTAATCAATCTATAATATTCAAATTAATAGTGAAGTTGGCCGTTCCATCTCAAAAGTTACTTTTAAGTTCTGATGAATTAAAGGAAATGAAAATCACATTGAAAAATTTCATGAGCTGACGATGAAAATATATTCATTTCTGGGAAAGTTTTTGGCTTTCAATTATTCCATCTCGATACAAAAAAAATGTGGGAACCTTCAAAAGAAAGGAAGGAAGTAATCAATTTTAAAATGAGTAACTTAATACATGAAAGTGTAGATCATGCAAAGAAGTAACTTTCAGACACCAACTGGAAGAAAAAGTCCTTCTGAAACAGCTACTTTTATATAAACATTGAATAACTCTAAAGAAAAATTCTTTTGAAACAAATACTTTCATATGAACACTGAATTATACAGAAGACACTTTTCTCTTCTCAGTTTGTATTCCAAATATTCGTTATGGAATAAAATTAGATATTATTTACAGGAGTTCTACATTAAATGAATGGTAAAAAATTCCAGAACACTGACATCCTCACTGGTAGACATCGATGTTTCGCCATAAGGCACTTGCCTTAGGGCTCTTCAGTACCAATCTGGATACCATTATAAGAAAAAAATATTAATTTCAGTCTGTTATTATCACCCGCATTTCTTTATCAAGAGGTCGAGAGTTTTTAACAAAATGTTTTACATGGGAAAGTGGTCCAAAAGATCACACCAGGGACCTAATTTTCCACATTATTTGAGTATACCTACTCACTACTCGAATACTCCCTTACAAATACTAGATACTATTCTCCAGTACGAATGGAATAGATATTCCCATGGGGAAAATTTTACGTATGTCTTAAAATAGATACTATTAAACAAATTATTCAGAGTCTAAAGGGAAGAAAGATGGAGAAAAGTTGTTGTCAAAATTAGAGTCGTCTCTCGTTGTTAGTGTTTTTTATTTCAGTAAATGATGGAAAATTTAGTTTGGCACTCCGGTAATAAGCAATATTTTTATTTTATTATTTTCAATATTTGCATATTATATTATTGACATTTCACATATTGTTCAACTCATTAATTAATTTATTTCCATGGCAGAACACAATTTGTTTTCTTCATAAATGGCGTCGTTATATTTTGGAAATTCATACTCAGTGTTAATTTTTTCTCACTTTTTTGAATAATTCCTTCTTTTGAATAGCCCATTCGAATATGTTAGTTCTGGTTTTTCAATACATATTTTTATTATTTTTTTTGCTTATAGATTCCACCTTTATGGACGATGAAATAATCGCCGAATTACTCGCAAACCTGTCACTTTTGTCTTACTCTAATTGGATGAGTATTATCTGTGTTCAGCTTTTCGAAAAGAATCCAAAGTAACTGCTTTCACAATCGGAATATTTTGATGAATGGCTTGTCAATAAGCATTTTCAAAGGTTTTAGATCAAAAATCTCGTGATGGATTTTTGGCTCGTCAAGCCAAATAATCTCGATTATTATTCTAATTGGCCGCGGTGGTAGTGCGTCCGATTCACGATCGGAAGACCTTGGGTTTGGTTTCTGTCTCGACCAGATATTATTCTCGAGAGAATTTATCTGGTTGGAGCTGGGATGATGCTGCAACCGTGTTAGGAATCACACGTTAAAAGGTAAGACCTCGTTAGTCCTTAGCTCGCACAAGTTTCTCAACTTCTGAGAGTTGCCGTTCGTATGGATGAGACAGCTGATTAACGGAAAAACAGATTTTAAAACAGATTTTTTTTAAACACAAAAATTTCAAAAACATCACGAACGCTAGATTTTGATTATGATGACCTTGTGAAAGGAATTCAAATTCTCAACGATTTTTTTACAAAACCAAAGACAACCAAATCACATTGATATAGGCAAGTGTAACTATATTCCATAGAAGCCAAAAGAAAATGTTCCCATACCTTTGTGGACAATATCAAATCGTTTTTCTCATGAAAAAGCAAGCTCATCAGGTCTTATCACATTCGCTGCGTAAAATAATTAAGGATTCTACTCCTGTGCGGGACATTTTTTTTAAATAAGGTTTTTAGGGCTTTATTGTTTTTTTTTGTGAAAAGCAGTAATTATCAGGCTCGGACGCCTATTGGCGTCCTACGCACAGTACCAGAGTTTCAAGGATATATGCGGATGACGCCATATGGCATTAATGGGTAAAAATCATCAAGTAGAAAAAAATACAACAACAAGTAAAAAAAACATTTTAAAACAAAATAAAATTATATTACGTTTGTCATTTTTGGTCAAAAACGTAATAAAACACTTCATTCATTTTTTTTGTGAAAAACATGGCTCAACACAAATTGGGTTTATCTGGACAAGACTTACATTCCCACACAGTGTCTTTCCTGATTTTCTTCTGGAAACAAAAACGACATATTTTTCTTGGTGTTCTCTTTGTGACATCAACCACTTCAATTTTACTAGGTACGTGTTTGAATATCATATATTCTATTCTATGTGGTATATCAGGCAATAGATTTTCAATCACAGCTAAACGGTAATCATATAATGTCATTTTTCTGCCCGAGTATTTGCAAAGTATCACGTAAGAATTGAACAAAAGGAGCTGCAGGATATGAACACCAAGTTTTTTATACCAGAATAATGTTTTTCTCAAGTAGGACATCATCTGGTCCTGACGATCTATTTTGCCCATGTATTTATTGTATTCCAAAATTGGTAAAGGCTTCTGTTTAGCAACTCCTCTTTTATTAGTTATCTCTACCATATGGTTTTCAAATTCAGTGGATATGTAGGTAACATCTCTTCTATACTTCCACTTTCCGATCATTATTCCATCTGAATACTGGGCTTTTGATTCCCTTTCAGTTTACTTTTCAAAATTTCAACAGGACCACCTTTCCTATCACTGCATAGAGTTCCAGTACATTATGTTTTAAGGTTTATCAAGGTTCTAGCTAATTGGCAACTATTGTAATAATTATCCATATAAATAGAATGTCCTTTGTTGAGGTAATCTTTTGCTACGTGCTGAACAACTTTTTGTGCATGGCCTTTACCGCCCATCTCATCCAATTGGCCGATGTAAACTGCAAAATTCAGTATAAGCCCATTTGGCTCTGTCAACATATAAAGTTTCAGTCCATATTTATGTCTCTTATTTGCGATGTACCGCCAAAACAATAGTCTACCACAAAACCATAGATTCGTCCAGAGAGAGGTTTTTCCAGGATAATATAGTCCCTTCATTTTTTCATTGAAATAATAACTGGTCTAATTTTATACAGACGGTCGTTTGATTCGGGTTGATTTGGTTCCGGATCCGTAGAAAAATGCAAACTCCTGAGTATCACCAAAAATCTATCCCAGCTCATGTGATCCGAAAAACATTTGAAATTGAATAGTCGCTGGTCCTCCAATAGTCTTGGAGTTTGTTCAGTTTCACATTGCTCATATGATACACTAAACCAATAAACTTCAGGAGCTCTTCTTCTTTTAGATCTTTCCAATCAGTTATCCTTGACCTTTCATTACCACCCCTTAACAAAAACAAGTTTTCTACATACTTATTCGTTTCTGTTATGATATTTTCAAGAAACCCATTATCAACAAAATGTTTAAAATAATCATAGGATTTTGCCTCAGTCTGAAGATCGACAAGCATTCGATTGGTTTCAGTAAAAGGAAAATGTTTCATACCGGAACAAATATCTTGCCAACGTTCTTTGTCAGTATTGAACGTTACCTGGTGTTTTTGGTCGATTGTTTCTTCTGCCGTATTATCTATGACAAACAGAAAACATCTATATACAGTAAACAACAATAAAAACAAACGAAATATATTACCATAATTTTCCCATTCACTTTCTGACTCAAGGTCATCATCAAAACTTAACTCAAAAGTTTCATCTTCGTAGCATTTCATCAACTGTTAGTTTATTTAAATGTGCGGACTGAAATACAATCACTCCTGTTTAGTACGGACTGAATACTAACACATTTATTGAGAAACACATGCGCGCCATAAGGCGTCACTCGCACAAAGTAGAATAACCAAATGCCGCCAATGGAGAATTTTCCTCAATTTGGGTTATTACAGAAAATGCAAGTATTCAAATTGATGTTTCAAATGTTGGATTTTAATTTTTAAAGGGACTTGTTTCTAATTCACATATTGGCAACAGTGCCTATATCAAGTTGAAATAATTATATTTATGAATCAACAATTAAGGCAAAATATAAATTATAGTTGAATACCACCTCCACAAGCCACATAAATAACAGTTGTTTTGTTATTTATTTATATAGAGGAAGATAGTTTCGGAACATAAGTAACCAGAACAGGTCGCCTCTGAAATATGTCATCTTTGTTTGTCTCATACAGGTAACAGGTAACAGATTCATTGTCCTTTATTAGCTATAACCGATGTTGCCAAATGGTGAAATAGAAACGAATCCCATTAAATGTTGAATGCATTATTTCATTCTTCTTTTTTAAGTATTCAAATAATTTTTTCAAGAAATGATAAATTTAAAATACGTTGTTTTAGAGATCTTTTATGAAAACTACTTGATTTTCGTCAAGAGGAACATTCCCCATTCACAGTAAATGTATGTGTGTATTTTGGTGGTATTTAAATTAGGTAAGTTAACCCAAAAACATTTAAAAAATTTTTTTAACGATTTCGAGGGCTTTTGTAGATTGAGGAGAATATGTTCAAACGACTACAAAAATTTCACATGGTGATCAAACAAAATACTGATAAAACAATATATAAGTCAAATGCCATCATATTATGTGAAATATTG